GGTTTGGCCTTCGCGTAAGCGGGTCGGGAGGGTTTCCGATTTCGAGCGGTGCGGTAGGAGATCCCCTAAAGCTCCAACCGAACCCCTTGCCCTAAACCGACCTAATACGGGGTCCTAAATAATTACCAATACTGTTTTAGGGGTTGCTTGTTATAGTTGTAGTTATAGTATCCCCAAACCCCATTCTAATTATTAAGGCCCCTATCCCGAATCCTTAAACCTAAACCCGACACACCTCTATACTGACGAGCCTATTAACCACTTACTTGGTGAAGTCTATTGAGCCTCGAACTTCCAGAGTTTTCGACAAGCATAGCAAGGAGTTCATAGAGAGCTGGTCTCAAGACCCGCTGGAGCATCGCAATGTCTCGGCGGGGGCAACAAAGTCCCGGAGAGCTTCGCAGATGACTGGCGCTTGATCCTGAAGAGGTTTAGGGCTTAGGGTGGAAAGACGAGCTCCAATTCCGCCCCTCTGGCCATCTGATGCGAAGTCTAGGCGAAAAAACAAGTCAGCCGGCACCCTAAACCCTAAACCCTAAACCCTAAACCCTAAGCATGGGCGACATCGTTGCGGCCTCGGGCTTTAGAGACCCAGAGCTTCTCGGAGCGGATCGGAGCCCCCCATCGTGGTCTGGGCCTACAACGCTGCCTGTGCTTGGAGGTTCAGGGGTAGATATAAATGGGGTTGCTATAGTTATAACCCATATTAGGGGACTTATAACCATACTTATAACTACCCATGACCCTCCAAGTGGGATGTGGTTGCATTCAGCTTACGGGCCCTGGCGGCTCAAAGAGACGGCTCAGTCTAGGCGGCTTTGGAGGGCCGAAAACACGAGGCCGGATCAATACTTCTTACTTAGAGGATAACTTTAGGGCTTTAGGGCTTTAGGGCTTCAGAGTTTAGGGTTTAACTTTAGGGCTTTAGGGCTTTAGGGCTTCAGAGTTTAGGGTTTAATTTTAGGGTTTTAGGGCTTTAGGGCTTCAGAGTTTAGGGTTTAATTTTAGGGTTTTAGGGTGGAGCAGGCAGCTCCGCCAAGCAACTCTCGCTCCCTCGCAGCACTCCGACGCGAGGGCCGTGTCTGTCTCTCCCGTCTGCTCCTTCCTGCAGGGCTCGCAGGGCCCCCTTTGCTGTAGCCTAAACCCTAAACCCCTAGGGTTTAGGGTTTAGGGTTTAGGGTTTAGGGTTCCCCTAAACCCTACACCCCTAAACCCTAAACCCAAGGAGGACCCGTAGGATTCTACGGACCGCTTTGGTAGCGCCAGGGGTCAGAAGGCTCCATACTTGGAGGTTCATGGGTAGTTATAAGTGGGGTTATAAGTGAGGTACCTATAGTTGTAACCCATTAGGGGACTTATAACCCCACTTATAACTACGGTTACCCTACTGATAACCCATCATAAGTAGGGTAGCTATGTTTACAACCCATAATAGGGGACTTATGACCCCACTTATAGCTACCCATGAACCTCCAAGCACCGAAGCCCAAAACCCAAAACCCAAAACCCTAAACCCTAAACCCTAAACCCTAAACTCAAAGGTTCCCAGAAAAGGTCGGAGGCTCGAGGCCCCGCAAGCACAGGTTTCAGGACGTTTTAGGGCTTTCGGGTTTAGGGCTTTAGAGTTTAGGGTTTAATTTTAGGGCTTTAGGGCTTTAGGGCTTCAGAGTTTAGGGTTTCATTTTCGGGCTTTAGGGCTTTAGGGCTGCTGCTGCTTCGCTCAAGGAACCTTTGAGAAGCTACAGATCAATGGGGCCAAGCTAAAGCAAGCTATGTCTCGATGTGGTGGACATGCATTTGGGGAGTGGCCCGAGTGGAGTTGCAAATTTTCGATTCGAAGTTCAGCATCCAGTCATGGACGGAAAAAATGCTTACTCCTGCAGAAATTGTACGAACCCGATATCAACTAAACTTAAGCCGAAAAGACTAAAAGCTCTAAACCCGTTAGAATCCTTCATTGAGTCAGTCTAGGCCTTTTTGCCCAACTTTTGATGCAAACCGTTGTGAAACCCTTATAGATCCCTCTAAAGCTCCATAGATTTGATAAAGCCCTATGAACCTTTTATACAGCCCCAGACACCCCGTTGGAACACAATTTCCCTGCGAGGAGTACCAGGAGACCCTCCTCAGTGCGACCAGAGAGACTTCAAGACCCCTTAGTTTAGGTTTGGGGGCTTAGTACAGGGGCCTGAATAATTAGAGAAGGGCTCCTTTCCTGGGTTCCGTCAGGGGGATTCTACAAGGGGTACTATAAGGTCTGCTATTTCAATTACAATAGAGTTACTATGGTTTATGTCACGCATAGAACCTTTGCAGCACCACCCCTGTAAAATCCTACAAAGCCCTGAGCCGCTGAGACGCAGGGCCGGGAGAAGATATTCAGGGGGGATTCGCGGGTGTGGGCTTCATTGCAAGTGGAATACTAGGTTTTTGTTTAGGCTTGTAGAAAACTTGTAGCAATTTTCTTTGCGGTTCTTACAGGCGTTATAGGAGCTTTGAGGGTTTCGTACAGTGTTTGTAGCTTTGCAAAAAGTACCCCTTATAGTCTCTACTACAAGTATCATCTTCTGCAGCAAAACCTTGTTTCAACTATTCCGGCCCTTACATTGGGTTCGAGTTTCGGGTTCAGGTTTAGGTCAAGGTTTAGAAGTTTAGGTTTGGGTTCGCAGTTAGAGTTTGACACTTTAGGTTCAGGTCTTCACCACAGCACATCGTTTGCTACAAGGGCTTTGGTCGTGGCATGGGCTGAGGCAGCTACGGAAGTTGCGATTTTTCTGTTCATGAACCCCAAACCCTAAAACCACCCAAACCCGAAGCCTGTCAGGCTCGCAGGGTTCATTCCCTGTCTCTTCTGGAGCGTCTCAAAACTCTTAGCGAGATTGATGGGCTGTCTCCAACAGAGGTGCATCTTACATATCTTTGCAATAACATGCACCAAAACCTTTTCTAAACCAGTAACCCTAACCCCTAAGCCCTAAACCCCCACACTCTTCTAGATTCTAGCGTGGGATCACAGCTACGGAACCGAGCCGCGGTTCCGAACCTTGCGTGGCGGAACAACCTCGCAACCTAGACGCCGAAACCCTGAAGCCCTAGGAGTCGATGTAGAATTTACGTTTTGGGGGTTTTGGCTTAGCTGGGGGGACGGCCTCAAACCCTCAAGCCCTTAGCCCCTTACACCCTCAAACCCTCAAGCCTCAAAAAACCGCGTTAACCCCTAACAAAGACCCTTAAGCCCTAAACCCCTAACTCTTAAGCCCGCAGCAGAGAGACCGAGGCAGCCCGATGGCCCTGATAACCACGCCATGTACTTCAAACTTTTTGCCCTAAGAAGTTTCCCACAGAACTCGGAAACTTGAGGTGTCTTCCTTCTTCCTTAATTCAGCGGCGAAGTTGGCAACTCTATGCGGGAGAACCATCGATACCAAAGCCGAACTTGACAAGTTAAACTCCAAATTTTGGGGTTCAGGGTGTAGGCCTGCGCCGTACGCCGGAAGCCTAAACCCTAAACCCTAAACCCTAAGCCGAAACCCTAAACCCTATGCCGTAACCCTTAAGCCTGAAGCTTGATCAGAACGCCGTTTGCAGCCAGCCATGGCGGTAGCCGCGAACCCTCCAGCAGGCAGGGCTCCGTCGGAAAGATCTGCCGACACATGGGAGTTTCCGAAAATTAGGGATTAGGGTTTAGGGTTTAGGGTATGGTCCCTTTTGGGGTACCCTAAATAATAGGTGCCGTATTATAATAAGGACCGCAAAAAGGGACCATAATTTAACCACCCATGTGGATTGCAGAGGAGTGGGGTCCCTTGAGGCCTTTAAAGGAAGGATCCTACGATTTAGGACTTTAGGCCTCAGGTTTCAGGGTTTAGGATTTGAGGTTAAGGGTTTGGTGGTTAAGAGTCTTTTATCGGGTTCAGAGGTCCCTCTTTAGGGTTCTATGCTAGGGCTCCTCGTTTGCTGAAGTTCTCAGATGATGGGGTCGCTTAGCTCGGCTTCCTTATTTGGGGGATCCGCATTGACAGAGTGACGTAGCTTTCCAGGTATCCAGGAGCCAGGCAGCGTAGTTTAGAGAATCCCCCACAAACCTCAAGCACCAAAAACTTGCAGGAACGTCGTGTTTCAAATCTGATATTCCTAAATCCTACCTCTGGTGAGCGTGAACTCGTAGCCATACCTTGAACTACCATAACCTACTTTTCTG